TAAAAGAAAACAAAGACAAGAATATCAAATTCAAATTTTCTAAATGAAAACAAAGATTTTATATTCTGTGACGATTTCTTTCGCATGAAGTGAGAACAAAAAGACGAAGGATAACAATAATATTGATGTTGTTCAGAAATTCTCATAGCAAAGCTACATAAACAAGTTGAATTGAGAGAAGTAAAAAAAAAGTGAACGAAGGAATTGAAACAAGCAAAAAGTCTCAATCATTACAAGTAATTTCGATAAAAGCGAAGGAAAAAGTTTTTCTTTCTGTTTTATGTTTCGTTTGCTTTTGCTCAATATTATTTTTCAACTTCCATATCAGTAAATATGAGCTTTTTCAAATGTGTTTCGAAACTTTTTTATATTTTTGTGATTGTGAGATATAAAGAATGTTTTTGAAACATTTGATACCGATGACTGGCAACAGACTTAGGTGAACTTATAGATTTAAGACGAATTTATTTTTTGTTTGTTCTTAGCTTTATTGAGATGTTTAATATCGAAATAAAAGGACAAATAGAAATTCTCACATAAACAGAGAATTATTTCTGTTTACATTAAGCAAAATATGAAAACAAAGGATCCATCACTGTAAGATTCCAAGAACTCTACATTCGGTTGGGTTTACTTAAATAATTCTTCTTTTATTGCATTCTTTTTGTAATAGCTACGATGGATGGGAAAAGAAGACCAGCAATTAAATAAATTGCTTGCAATTATTTCGCTCCTTTGTTCTTAGCACTGTAATCAGTGAAAAATAATCGGTTATCCTCAAGGAAGATAACGAAAAACTTTGATCAAAGCTCACAGTTGAATATTTGGCATAACTGAATTAGAAGTTTTTTCATCGAATTAATCTTGTAGCAAATGAAATTGAAAGTTAGGGAAATCTCATTAGGAAAAGCTTAAAGAGCTTTCACCAAATCATTTCAGGCAATATTATTAAGTTAAAAAGAAAAGCTTAGTTAAATAGAAATAAAAGCACCGTAACAACCTCCAACAGAGTCTAAAATAAAATTAAAACGTATCGCAATTTCATTTTGAATTTCAAGTGACTGCGTGACTTAACTTCAAATTATCCCTCGTAACAAGAGAGGCTTTTGTATTAAGCATAAGGAAATATCTTTTCAAAAAGAAGTTGTAAAGCTTATTGAATTTCTTACTTTAAACTCAAAGCACGGCTACATTGTTCCTTTTGTAAAGTCTCACTTTAATCTATTTCAACTCATTTTTAGTTAAATTTTCATGCGAGATAAAGATTATACAAAAAAAAATGTAAAAATTGAAATGGTTAAGACAAAAATGTTGTGTATTAAATATTCCACTTATTGTTCTTCTTGCTGCTATCGCCAAATTCAATTCAGTGTCTGTACATCCATTGAGACCTAAAATTAGTTATACGTGCATACTCAACTCGAAGCTGTGTAGCAAAGCTTTCTCGATGAAAACATCTAACGAAGAGTAGTTGTTTTATAATGTTGCATTAACAATTCTCATCAAGGATAGCAAGGTAACTGGAGTGGAATGCTTTAAGCTTAAAATATAAAGAGAAGCATTGAAAGAGAAAGGAAATTCATAAAAGTTACCGTCTTTTTACGAATTTCATGAATAATTAGTAAATATATGAAAATAAATTTACAAAAAGCTAAATTTTTCTGTGAGTTCATCAATTTTGAATTGAAATTTTCACATTCGGTAAGAGACGGTAGAAAAATTGCAAAGCTCTCGGCAAAATTCAGTTCTCGTTGACATTTTCTGTTCTGTTTAGTTTCATAAAAGCTAATATTTGAAACTATCTAATGAGAACAACGTGTTGATTAAAACAAAAGTACCGGAGATGCAAACGTAGATTTGTGACAAGTTTTCGCTACAAAGTTGAAGTTTTCTACGTTTTCAATGACTACCTAGAGCGTTAAATGATTAAACTTTTGGAAACTTTTGTTTCTTATTTCACAATGAAGTTATTGAAATTTCATGAATATCGTTTAGAAAATTATCAAAGGTCACATTAAAAGAAGCGATTACGCAATCAATTTTCAATTTCAATTATATTAATTAATTAATCTTTTGAGAAATTTCGACAAAGGAAAACATAAATCATTAGAGCTTTAACCCACTCACAACAAAGTTCCGTGAATTTTTTTAATGTTAAACTGAAAGGAAATAAAAGGAATGAAATTTACGCAAAGAATTTCAACCTTGACATTAAAAAACAAATTTTTCTTCCTCAAGTGCTCGTTGTTTGGTGTTCACTCGCTGTGAGCTTTTGATGCTCGACGAATTGTGAGCTTTAACTGTCAGAAAAATAAAAACAATCGTTGATCAAAAAGCTCTAACCACAACAGACTGCACATTCTACCCACACATGGAGACGCAATTTTTTTTAAAAAAGTGAACTTCGATTCTTCTTCCGAACGGTTTCGGTTTATGTAACCTTGAAAGCTTAAAACTGTTCAGCGTTTGTCAATACTTCTAACTTAATTTACGGTTCGCATCTCATGTCTGTTTATGTATTAATTCAGAGTATACACACATTTTATCTACGACAGTGGTTTCGTAAAATAAATAAAGTTTGCAGACTGAAACTTGTTGTGAATAATAATTTTAGACGCTCGTTAGTTTGCATTCGTCTTTCATTAATATACAACATTATAAATAAAACTGAAATAACTAAATTATAATTACTGTTGAAATATCAAATCAAAACTGCTCTTTTAATAGTTATTCGACGAATTAAGTGTCATAAATTTCTATCATAAAATTTCATAACATTAGGTAAATTGCAATCTCATGCGAAATCAGATTGTGTAATCGTAGTTAGATATAATTTTGTTCGTCGTCGCGTGGCGGAAAGTTTTAATCATTCTTCGTATCAATTCCAGTTTTAACTGTGATAAAAATTATCAAATTACGCCAGCAAGTTTTTTTAATTTGCTGGGTGCCGTGTTCTGTTCAGGGAAGTGAAAAGATAAACAAAAATAAAGGAGCGAATTTAGAAACGATCCAATGGAGGTTAAAAACTACATAACTGGAAAATTGGTTCCTGAATTGCTGAAGCAAAAGATTATCAACATTAAAGGCGCTGATGAATTAGAATTTGTCTACATTGATTCTGTTGAGGCTAAAGAATTGAATGAAGCTTTTTCTTTGGCCAAACCTTACGCTGTCGATGTTACTCTAAGCCGATACAGCGAACGTGACGTCAAACATAACTTCCATTTAGTTGTCAAGGTCAGTTTCTTTGTGGAACGAATAAATCTGATTGAATATTCAGAAGAAGGAAATTAAATTCTTCAAATTTACAAAGGAAATTGTGAAAAGTAATTTTCTAGAAATATTTTTCAATCTCCAGATCACTCCAATATGTCCACCGGAAACGTACGAATTGATGGGATTTGATGTTCTATTTGAAAATGAGGAAACAGCGTTTCGCGACATAATTCCTGCTTTAGGACATCTTGAAGATTTTCCAAAGTAAGCGAAGCTTTGACCGACAATTTCCTAACTTAATTTTCTTGTTTCATGTGCTTAGGTATTACTACTCGCTTCGTGAAAAGAACAGAGCGGTGATGGTGTTAGGAAACTTCGGATATGATGGATGGAAAATGTCAGTAAATCGTGTCAACTTGGATTTAAATCATATTCTCGTTGCCGGTAAGCTTCATTTGAAAACTTAAATTATTCGAATGCTTTTAAATTCAACACAAAGAACTTCAGAAATTGAAAACTTCATTGGGAAGTAAATTTATTTACTAAATCATCCGTCCATAAATGAACCAAACAACTCACAATATTCAACGAATAAAAGTGAAAATCCCATTTGACATCTAGATAATATTTTCCAGATTCGACTTAAATTCAATTTGACTGTTTGCCGTCAAGAGGAGAAGACTTGTTGATTTGTATTTTTCTTTCTCATGTTCAATTCATGTCCCAATGGCCTTAAAATGTAATTTACAACGAGTTTCAAATGCAATTTCCTTCCTTCTCAAATGCCACCACTCTCAAAAGCTTTAGTTAAGATACAAAGGTTTCAAGTTTATTCTTTTTCATCCCTTTCAACCTCAGTCATGTGCAATGCAATATTTTACTCTAAGTATAAAATTTCAACAAATTACAGAGGAAAAGAGTTGAAAGGTTTTAATTCCGCTACGTTGGCAAATAAATTCCATTTATTGGGTTGATTAATATTTAATATTAAATTACAATGCATGAAAAGCTTTGCTTAACTCGCTCTCAGCCTCAGCATAAAAACCGACAAAAAAAAGTGCAATTAAAGTGCTCATCTGTAATTATTCTATGCAACGAGTGTAAAACTTCAGACTATGCAGGAAAAAAGTTTAAATTAAAACAACTGGAAATGAAAGGTTAGTGCTAAAGGGTGGAAAGGCAGCGAAAAGGCTTCTTTGTTGTAAAACAAGATATTAATAGTGAAAAGCTTAGCTTTTTTTAAATTTGAAGATAGGAGGGAAGAGATTATCTCAGGTGCTCTCACAATTTCTACGTCATTTGGCTAAGTCACGAACTTAATGCGATATTTACTGAACCTTCCTACACGCTCCAATTCCATGAACATTTTCCTTCAAATGATATTTCAAGTTGATCCACCACTCAACATGGATTGTTGAAGTTACTGCTGCTTCTGATACTTGCCATATCCTCAAGTAGCATAAAATGTTTTTGATTCAAATGGATTTTCCAACGACGTAAGAATCCCACGATGTCGCTTGCTTGCATTATTGAAACGTTCACACATTTCGAAAAGCATTTCATAAGGTAGATGAGAAATCAATTTCAAGAGCTTTTCGCTTATTCAGAAGTCTTCAAATGCCATTGCCAACACTTGGATGTAATTTTCTTTACTGATGATACTTACACACTCTCGCTCAATGTTGATTCTTTAAATAAATACCACTTGCTTTAACTGAATCCTAGTTTCATGATTGATTTTGATTCAATTTTCCTAGATGCGTGACATTTGAATATCATGGGGTCATTCATAATTTTGGTAACAAGAAACTTTCACATTTTCATCATTTAAAAATTAATTGAAGACGAGACAAAATGTTAATCCAACGAGACGACGGAACAAATTTTGCAGACATGAAACTTAAATTTACTTTTCTTCTTATCCATGACATTGACCCAATAGAACGAACTTTCATCACTGACAAATAACTTGAACTTAATTCATTTCTTTCTCTTTTTCATTCATTGCATTGTCTGTGTGGCCTAATTCTGATCGATTGATTGATGGATGAGTTTGCAAACATTTTCTCTTATTCTATTTTTAACTCCCACCACCAATAACTTGAAATGTATCACTGTTGTGTGATATTGAGTATCACTGAAAGTTAATTAATTTTTTTTTGTGTATATATTTTATTTCTTTCCTTTAACACTTTAGTTCGAGAGCTGGGAAAGTTTCATGGTAGTAATTGATTGATTTGTTTAATGACGTTATTTCACATGAGAATATCTTTAGGTGAATGTTATGCTTTAAAGGAATCAAATCGTGGCTTATTTCATATCATCACAAAGGCGTTTAGGGAGTCACGTTTTCACAGAGATCCCGACATGATTTGGGGAACTACGTTGAAAGTTTCACCAAGACGTGGAACGCATGCGATTCGTGAGAATCCTGAACTCAAACGCATCATACCGGAAGAATTTCTTAAGAAAATTGAAGAACATGCAGATAACTGTTGGGAATATATGAAGGAAAGTGTGCAGCCACGTGAACCATTAGCAATAATCTGTCATGGAGACTATCTTAGAAATAACATTGCTTTTAAGTATGATGAAAATGTGCGTAGATCAATCTTTGAAAACTAAACAAGATGTACAGTGAATAAGAATAAATTACAATGTTATGTTTTCTCTTTTATATTATTTAGGCACCTCACGCACCCATCAAAGCAATGATGTTTGATTTTCAGACACTTCGTTACGCATCTCCAATGATGGACCTTGCAACTTTCCTTGCTAACTCAACAGGTACTGACGTTCGTTCTACGCACTTTTCTTTCATTTTTAAGACGTATCATGAAGAAGTTATCAAGACCCTGATGAATACAATGAAGAAATCCCGTCAGGAAATTTCAGAAGTTTACAGGTAGTGAAAGAAAGTTGAAAGATGTTTAAGTCAACATTTAATTTACATTTAACCTCGTTCATAGCTATGATAATTTCCTTCGGGAATACGCCCGCCTTTCGTTGTATGGATATTTCATAGCTGCGAGCTTTCTTCAAATGTTACACGAGCCTGAGGAAATAGATTTTGCAAATTGGGATAACTCATTGGGAATTGACTTTATTATTGATAAAGCAATGCGACATGGAGGTGAAGTTGTCAATTATGAACTTGCCGGACTGATATATGATATGTTTAAGCTTCATCAAAAGCTCAATATTGATTTGGAATAATTGAGGAGAAAAGCGTTTTCAATTAAGGAAGCATAAGTGATTGAGCGATTGATTGATTTTCTTAGAAGATTGTATGGAATCAGTTTTCTGAGTAAATAAAGTTTTATTTTATCTTTTTCTCTCATTCTAGCCATTTCCTTTCTTACATGTTTGGTTTTGTGTTTCAAGACTTTCAGGGGAAAAACCTTTCACCTTAATAACATTTCATTGGAAAAAACCCTAAGCGACATTATATTTCAGGGAAAGATCTTAAGCAAGGCAAATTACTTGAAGCTTTTTTTTTTCTTTGACGTCAAAGAGTTTTCCGAGCATTTTCTTTTGTTTGTTTTTACAATATACGGCATGGCATGCATTTGACATTCGCATGTTTTTCGTATGCGATATTTGTGAACAAAATTATGTTTTAAATTATCAAATTTCTTAAATGAATTATCTAGCGAATATTTATACATTTTTTATAACTTAGATTAAGTAAAAATAAGAAGAAATTTTTTTCTCCTTTGGAACTTCATTAAACTTTTAAATTTCCCTTCCTTATGGTGCTGAACGTTAGCTTTATTAAAGTTTATTCACAGTTTCTACTTAAATTTATAATCTCAGCACAAACATAGACAAAAAAAAAACACAAATGAACCAAGAATCCATTTAAAAATAAATCTTAATATGCTAGTCTTCTTAAAGCACACAAGGAAAGGAGCGGAAAACGAAGCAAATTTTTCACAGTCGGCAGCGCATTAAATGTTAATCTTGTAATCACTGTGTGGTATCTTTCTATTATCGCGGTCATAAAAGGTAACAAAAGGCTTTTCTTAGCGGAACGGATTAATGTGAATGTAATAAACAGCTGAGTCACAGCTACGGCGAGAATTTTTTTCAAGTTAATTTTTTTTAGGCCCACAGAGTTCATTCGCGTTGATGACGACCACTTTTTCATTTCAGTGGCTATAAATTTAAATATTATAAAATCCGGATCACGCTTCTTTTTTTTAATAAATGACAGGATTTATTTTGGTTCTGCTTGAAAATTACGCGCTCTGAACTTTTAATATCTTCGATGACAGAGGTCTGCACACGGGTGAAGGTTGAAAAAGAAAACAAATGTTTTCCCGCCAACAGATTATGAACTCTCTCCGAAAAAAGAAGAGCAGATTAACGTTATTAGCGCTGTGATTTTGGCTAAGATAGATGATGACAATTTGTGTTAACTCATTAGCGAAACATTCGCTTTGACGTAGAAAAAATATTTTGATATCCAAAGCTGAAAATTTATTTATACTGCACATGAAAGCATAATGATCTGGTTTTTTTACTTAATATCTCTTAATCATTAAATATCTCCAAGCGTCAATCTTGTAGGTAAAAGCATAATATTTGAAGACATCAGATAAAGATTTTGTGTTGATAATCTTGAAATGAAAGCAGAGGATGGCAGAATAAAAGTCGTCACAATCAGCGCAAATGTTATGGTAAAGTTCAAAGGGAATCATTTTTAACATCACGATAATCTTTTTACTTTCGTCGTTGCTGTCATACACTATATGATTACTTCATCTTGCTTGAAAACATCACATAGTTAGCTTTTAACATTTCTAATTATATTTCTGGTTTCTTCATCTTGAATCTTTTCTTGGAGACTGAAAATAATTTTCTTGATTTCCCTTGTGAAGTTTCATGACAATATTTTCATAGTTTAGCATGATGATGATAATAGACTTGCTTTAACTTCTTATTCGTCTTATCGTTTATGTCCTTTGCGTCGCTTGTTGCATTTTCAAGTGATTTCGTTAATGATTTTGCTTCTTAACGAAAGATTTTTATTTACAAGATTATGATGATGTTGATTGACATTCAGACTACATGAAACAAGTTGATTCGCTTTCTTTCTTATTTTACAAGCTTTATTTCTTTTGAATAATTTTAAAGTTCTTCACTCTGAAATAAAAAGCTTGAACAAGGTTTGAAAGATTACTTTGGAAGGATGCAGTTCAAAAATCCTTTTATTTTGTCGCATTCAGGATCTGCAGTTGCTTTAGGACAATTCATCAGCAATTCCTTTTTAAGACAAATTGCAAACATGGCGTTCTCGGTAGTGTCGCACTTGGCAAAATCAGGGATTTTCATAAAGTTCTCTTTCATTTGTGGAACTGAAATAGATATTAAAATTTTACGCTTTGAAAGTTTCTGATTTAATTTTGCATAAGTTACCATCAGCTATGCAAGTTTCAACAGCTTGAGTGTAGATCTAAGTGAATAAAATTGTCTTTTAAACTTTCATTTTTCTTAGTTTGCAATAAATTCTATGAAACCTACAGGTGTCCAAGTAGCATCGTCTCCAAGAGTAGCAGCTAAAGCACCCAAAGCTGTATCCTTATCAAATCTTCCATCCTTGACTATCCCAAGTTTATCCGCAAAGCAATTTACTTTGCAGCACATATCAGGATGTTGACATTCTCCCTCGCAAGCTCCCCAAAATTGTGGTTGAATGAATTTTTCAATACCTCCACAGCATTCTTCAAGTTTCTTTTCAGGGTATGCGCCACAATCGGGTAATTTCTCCTGAGCAGAAATCTTTAGAAAGAAAATGAAAGAAATGTCAAGAATAAACTTTTTAAACTTTTGATATATATTTAAAACTCTTACAGCTCCAATAAAACACAAAACAACGACTACTGATTTCATTTTATGATAATAACTGAATTTAAACTGCTGACAATGTTAGAAAAGTTCTCTTAATTTATACATTTGATAAATGACACGAAAAGTTATAAAAAAAGTTTAATGAATACATATAATTTGGAAAACTTAATGCGAAGCTTTGATTTATTTGGGGATTTCCGGGTAATAACTGACTTGAACAATAACATGGTTTCAACTCTCTGACAGCTAAATGATCGAAGTTAATGAGACGAAAATAATTTTTAACTTAAGTGATTTTGAGTGTTTAAATTAATAAAACTATCGGTAGCTTTACCAATTGAATCATCATAATTATTTATAAATTAGCGCCTTCAATCAATTTCCAGCTTAATTATATAAATCATGCCTTAAGAGAAAATATCTAGTTGAGGTTTTTCATAACTTTGGATTATTTAGATAACGATGAATAATCAATGTTTGTGTAACCTCTTGTCGCATTTATTTATAAGAGTTGAACAAAATTATGTTCTTTTCCACCTACACTTGTATTTTTTTAACATTTATTTGGATATTTATGTATTCTTGAAAAAATAAACCAAGATATTGCTCTTGCGTAGTTGGGACATAAATTTGGTGCGCTTTCTTTTCGGAAACCCTTGGGGACGACCAAATGAAATGTATTTAACTAAAACAAAAAGTCTTAATTTAATTCATGATGGCCACATCATTCCAAATAGATCAACTCAGACTAAATTGGATGAAACCTATAAAAAAGAAAATTACTTTTATACCTCCCCGGAAAGCATGAGTCAGATCTCTAAACTTAAAAAAATTACGAACTTTTTTTAACCTTTTTATTTCTTATTAGATTTGAGTCACAAATTAATGTTAAAGTGACAGAATTTCATGTTTATTTAAATTCTATTTAACATACAATTGACAGAGTGTCTAAATCTTTGACGTTTATAGGCATAAAATGGATGTCGAATTATGAATATTTAATTTACCTCATTTATTAGTTCTAATTTTTACGGTAAAACACAATTCAGGAAAGTTCGAGTTTGTTCACATTCCTCATCATTTGAAGGCATTGGACAATTCATAAATAAATTCTTTTTCAAACAGAATGCTATCAATCCATTCTCAACATTGTCACATTTAGGAGCATTTGGTGGTGGTGTCAATTGTTCCTTCATTGAGGCAACTGTAAGTAGGTTAACCGTTCATTTAATGAGTCTGAACTTATCAAAATATTAATCAAATTTTACCTCGTGCTACGCACTCATCAAGTCCTTTAGTATAAATCTGAAAGGAAATATTTTAGGAATTTTCTGCTTCGAATTTATTAACTTACAGCTTTCCATGTTGGATCAGCAAAGGTATCGTCTAATGATTTCAAAGCTGTTTCCTTATCAAAAGCTCCGTCTTTCAATATTCCAAGTTTCATTGAGAAACAATTTCCTTTGCAGCACATATCCATTGGACTGCATTCTTTGTCACATTCATCATAAAATTCCCTTTTAATAAATTTGTCAAGACCTTCACAACAATCAATTGGTCGTTTTGCAGGCAACGGCCCACAGTTGGGAATTTCTGCTATAGTTAAAGCCTGGAACAAATCATTTCACTAATTTCTTATCTTACTTAAATTTAATTAAACAAAAACACGCTCACAGCTCCAATAAAGAAGAAGAAGATAATTGACACTGTTTTCATTCTAACTTATTATTTAATACTGGTTACTTTTCCAGTACATTTTCACCGTTTTATAGTTTATTTCACGAAAAGGGGACTAAAGAAATTAATTAGAAATAATTGGTAGCAATTTCTCATCAAAACATGGAGAACAAAAAACCCTTCTCGTTTCTTTTTTTATTTCTATTAAAAATAAACAGGAAACTTTAATATCAGTCCGAACAGTCAACGAACATGAGCGTTCACTTAATGTTGTTTTTATTCTTTTTTTCATTCGTACATTCACTGATAATAGGAAAAAAACGACAAACAATTTCAACATTATTGTCCATGTTGGTGATGTCATGTGAACATTTTAATAAATATTGGTAAGCTTTGACGAATTGTTCTGGAAGTTTTTATATTTAAGCATTAACTTAAACCATGATTACGGCTATAAAGAGTGAAACAAGCCATATAAATTGTGCTCTTAAACAAGAATTAATAAGAAAAGTAAGTTAACGAATATTTGATTTCACTGCTATTGCTTTCAATTAAATGTCGTTTGTGGACACTCGACTATTTATGAATATGTTGCCCCACAAACATATATCACAGCATATGTGGTGGAATATTTTCCCAAGAAATTTTTCACTCGCTTTTATTTACCTTTTCCATGATATTATGTGGTTTGCAGAGTCACATTTTTATATGTTACGACCATTTGCATTTGTGGAATGTGCATCAATAAATAATGCAACTCCGTGATTTCATCAAGCTGATAAAGAGAAGAAACAAAAAATGCAGCAATGGAAGGAAGAAGTAAATGAAATAAATCACTTTGAGATTTGAAACGTCTATGCAATTGTGCCATGAAGCAATTATCAGAGGGAATCATGCAATTCAACGTCTCTTCTTTTCCATTATATTTTACTGATCTGCAAAACCTGTGAACATAAATATCGTCATAAATCTTAAACCTGGTGTATATCATAAAAATTGTTTATGTTTAGAAAATGTTCCGGAATGGAATGGCAGCGAGTTCTGCAGAGCCAATCTGTTCCATGTTCTCGTTTTGAACTCTTGCCATGCTAACGTAATAAGTAATTCAAGCTCAATCCAACGGAAACAACAGAAGGAAGCATTTGAAAAAATATTGTTAAAATCTCTAAAGCGAATAACTTTTAGAGCGCAATGGAATGTTAGGTAGATTAAGGTAGTAGGTACGTGGGGATTTAAAAAATATCTAAAAGCGAATGTAATTGAAAAGTTTTTATGGCTTTTTAATGGAAATTCACTTGAAATTGATTATCATTCTTTTGTAATCGAATCGAATAGATTCGAAGAAGCGTTAAAAGTTGTAACAAGTAAGTGATGTTATTGCTTCTAAATATCTAAATATCTCTTTGATGCTGGTTGAAACCTGTTAGATAATATTCGACAGCGAATGATCATTCTCATTTCAATGGTTAAGATAATCACCGGAAAATCCCGAGCTTTATAATCAAAATAAATTGTTATTTGATTCAATTAGAACATGAATGTTAAATTAATGGAACAATAGGGTAAAAGTTTCGGTAAATTTATCAGCAAGCAAAACTATTTATGTGATTTATCACAATCGGCATTTATTCATTGAACGATAGTGTCGAATGTGATTTACTCGATTACTCACGCTCGATCAATTCCGTAAGCTTCCTTCTCCAAAAATTTCAACCATTTATACTTAGAATGTCGATAAAAAATCTAATCCTATTAACTGAAATAGCCTGCCATCTTGCTTTGGTATGCAAGGTCGAAATAGATGAAAAAAAAAGGAAAAGATTGAGAAAAATGTATTATTCAGAAATAAAAGTCGAGTGACTCTGACGCTTAATATTTCATGAGTTGTATTTGATTGAAGAAAATCCTGTTCGTTGTGATTTCGTCGGTCATCCTGCATCAATTTATGAGTCTTCAATTCTCATTAAGCGCTTAATGTTACTTAGCAAACAGACATCATTGAAAATTTCATGTAAGAATTACAGTCACGAATGAAATTATTCGACACGATTCATATTTATGATCTCCATTTCATTGAGCTTTCACACCAAAAAACTTTGATGCTTATGTGTTGTTCATGTTCTAATGATGAAACAAACGAGAAAACTTTATCTGATGACTGTTGAGTTTAGTAATTCCATCACATAAAACAGGCTCCTTTGTTACTCCAAAATTACACGAAATCAATTTTGTTTGTTTATTTATGTACGGCCATTAGTTTTATTTATTTCCTTTCAACAGCAAATTTCTTAACGTCGAAAGGTTCACGGTAAAGCCTAGTGACTTAGGATTATTGTTATATTCGGAAGCAAAGATAATCTTTAAGGATTTCTTTTTCCCCATGGAGTTAATGACGCAGCCGACCTTATTCTGCATCGTAAAATGAAAAATATTCATTTTACGATGTTCTCGGCGTGCAGGAAGGAAAGTAACAGTAACAGTGTGAAGCGTAACAAATTATAATTTTCCTTTAAAATAACTCCTCGCGAAATGTGCGTAAATGATTGATGATGGTAATTGAATCAACGAATAATACGAACGAATAATGAGTGTTGGGAGACGCATACACAAGAAATCTTCATTAAGAAGAATGATCAGTGTCGGTGGTTTAAGAATCTTTCGACATTAACATTCAACGTCTCTCTCATGCTCTACTCGTCTACGTCATTGAAGAAAGTTATTAACTCCTACACAGCGGTAAAAATAAATGACATCAAATCTCTGCTTATTGCTTTTTAATGTTAATATATTCAAGTATGAATGATGAGACAATTGAACTGTCAGCGGTTACGAAACTTTTGTGGAGCTTTTTCTCTCTCTTTGTATCCTTCTTTTGATACCAAATAACACTTTTTTCGTCTCACAGGAAACAAAATATATAATTTGAGCCTTTGTAAATGTTTTTCCGGGTGATTGATGATATGATGAAGAAGAGCGAGAAAAAAAGCTCATTTGAATGATTTCATAAACGTCAAGGGAAGGAACAGCTTAAAGGTTTCGCCTTTGCGTCTTAGATTGAATGATGACGATGAGGAGGTATGAAATGTCGTGAATGACGAATCAATGGCTGAAATTGGCTCAAATATATTCACAGTAAGATTTTGTCACAACATCAAAAGCTCTCCATGCCTACCATTAATGTCAATGAATTTCAATCATTTACCATGGCGAAAGGTTTTCGACGCTTAAAAACGTTTCTGGTGATATTAATGGATCCATTATTCAAAGTCAGATGTCGATTTCTTTTTTGCATCAAATTCCGATATTTTTTCTTGTCGATCTTTTAAAGTAAATTTGAAAATGATTTCTCCTTTTTTATTCGGAAGGTAGTCGAATATTTTTATCTATCATTTACATTCAGCTTCGACATTTTAAATAAGAATTTAATTTTTTATTCAAACTGCTTTAATGCAAAAATATCACATGATAAAAGTCACAGCTAACATACAAGAAATCTGTTTAATCAAAATTCCTCAACAAGCTAATTCTCTTATCTGCCATTTGAGTTTCATTTTTGTAGGAAGAATTTTTAATCATTTATAAACATGCTCAGAGAAAACTTCTTGTCCTCGTTGGCAAACTTAGTTATGTGGAATGAATTGAAATCTATGCAAAAGTTCTCGGTTAGATTGCATATCTATGTCAGAAAATATGAAATGGAAATTAAAGTGAAATTGCTTTAAGGGTAAAGTTGAAATATGAAATTTCTGAGACTTTAGCTTGACTGAGTTGAATTTTTGATTACAAGGCGACTTTTCCTTACCTAATTTATGAGTGAATGTGAGCATTATAAGAATGCAAATTTTATCGAGAATATTTATAGAATTTGTTCCCCGACTGAAAGAATAATATTTGCACAAACTCGTACGAGAAATTTTCTTATCAAAAGTCAACAATTTCGTAAAACATACGAAAGAAAATATTTGTAATCAGTCGATTGGAAAATCGATAGATGAGGTTTCATTTTTTTGTCTTCCTTCTTTTCTCCTTATGTAGATTGAAGTGTAATTCTAATCTATGAATGAAAGTGGAAAAAAATTGATTGAATGATTAATGATTACTTCCATTAGGTCAAATTAATGTTGATTTGTCTTAAGATTCAGATTCTGAAGGTTTTTCATTGAAATCACAAATCTCAATAATATATAACACAATAGAAAGAAATGTTAATTAATAAACTTTTGTTTATTATACAATTACCAACGTATTATGAGAACGGCACCATTTGGTGTAATCATAAATGTGTTTGTTGTATGCAACACAATGAAGAAAAATCAATAAATAATCAATCAAGTAAAGACAACAAAGAGTTGTGGAATAAAGGAAAGTTGTTGCATTAAGTGAATGATACTTATTGTAATCAATTATTTTGTTGAAAATCTTTCAGCACACAATGAAACTTTGTACGAAAAAAATGCCAACGAGTTGATTTTTTTCAATGAAAAAGTTTTTGAGAAAACGTTTAAAAAATTCATGTAAAATGAATTTGCATAATAAATTTATTTCTAACTCGATTCCTTAATAAAATTACAAAATTGTTTTTGATTAAAAGTTCAGCCATACATGCTAAAAGAGTTTGTAGGAATTTTTAGAATTAACATTTAAAGAATGTTTTTTTTTGATGTAGAAAATTGAAAAGTAAATGCATGAAAAATTAATGATTTAAATGTAATAAATAGAAAGAAAACTTTAATCTTAATCAAAAGTTAACACACTAACCAATAGCACCAAGAAATTTACATAAGATAAGATCTTGCACAAAATTAAAATATTTACGTACGGTAAGAGCGAATTTGAGAATAAAAATTAAGAAACATTTTAAATTTTAAATAACAAAGTAGTGTTTGGATGAAACATAAATTACAATTAAATTCTTCTACAAATTAAATTAAAAACATATTTCCATAATTTTCAATAATTATTGTTTATAGTTCAAATTAAAATCATAAAGAAATATTTTCCTGTTGTTGTTTCACAACAATTATTTTTCAAAAGTATTCAATTATTCACAGAAGTTTTCACAATCAAAAGTTTAGCATCAAATGGTCATCAGAAAAAGCTTATTTATCAGATTGTCATGTCACAACTCATGACACATATCAATTTGTGAATGATCATAGCAAATAGAGTTACATAATAAATGTTTCATAACAAATGATTGAATGATTGAATTACAAGTAGATATTTGAGTGTGTGCGAAATGTAGAATTCATGTTGCAATTTTCAATAGGTGGGAAGATGGATCATAGATACTTTCAATATTAAAAGCAATTAATTATTTATTTAAACTATTCGATTACATTCCACACTGTCAACTATTTCCCCAAATTCTCGCGCGTTTTAATCGACCCGCAAAAATCATTTCAAAATGCCATTTCATGCTCAGGAATTTTGATTAAACATCCTTTGAAACTATTCAGTCAAATTATTGCTGCTTTTGTGAAAGCCATTTGAAGCACTATTAATGTTGTTACTTGTTGTGGAATTGTTGTGGCTTGCTTTACCATTCATTGGATTCGATTTGATAACATTTTGTGACATGTTGTTTGGTGTGTTTCGACGAGTTTTAATACGCTGTTGAAGTGTTGTCAATAAACCACTTAGAACATCATGATTGGGAATTTTTTTAGCAAACAACAGACGCTTAACTGAGTCGTCATATGTTAATAAAGCCACCATATTTTGAAGCAAGAAACCTTGGCAATATTCCATAAGCTTTGATGCATTGTACACCTGTGTGTCGAAAAGCATTAGAGAGAAAGGAAATCACAATTTTATTGAAATTAAAATACAAAATTAAATAACCTAATACCTTTGCATGAATATACATTGCAACGACATTGTCGATGTCGATGATTTCAGCGCAACGTGCTTCAGTATAACGAAGTAATCCCTCAAGTTGAAAGAAGCTTGCAGCTGCCATAAGCTCTAAAACATCATTTGCGGACACATCTAGGTTGTTGCAACCACCGCTGTATAAATATTGCATAACCAACTGAAAATAATTCCAAAATTGAATTCAATTCATTCAAATTAATTATTTATAATTTTAAGTGTCTGGTGATAAAGATTAAATTTGATTACTGAATTGATTTTATAAAGCTCACCTCAAAGATATGATATCGAATATCATTGATTTGAACTGTCGGCGTACCGCTTCCTTCATTTACTTTCGAGCTCAACAAACTTTGCAGTCGGGGTGAAGCAGTTACGAGAACGATTTTATGTCCATAGAAAATTTTATTCTCGACCCTGAATTACGAAGCACAAAAAGAAATTGAGAATGACATGAAGTTAAGTGAATTGAAATAAGATATTGCTTTTATTTATAAATTGAGTGAGTCCAAGCACGAAACTCACCTAAATGTTACGTCACTTAGCTCGGGATTGTTGACAAATTTCGGATCAATGCGTGACCCATTCACCGGCTGGAGAACGACTTCTTTTATGGGCTTTATTGGCTCCCAGCCAAAGCATGTACTGAAAATATCTGCCAAAAGCAATGTTGTTCCCTCTTTCTATAAACATGAAATAATAATAATAAACAAAAAGCTGCTAGTACGGGGGTGGATGAAAAACAAAAACGGAAAAACTTTTCAATTGCCTGGCGAATTTTATCGTTTTTTTTTCTCCTCCTTCGTTTTTTTTTTTTGTTTTGTTTTGCAATTTTCATGACATTCAAATTTAATTAAAGGAAATGAGTTTAATGAGAACATCCTTGAACAAGTGTTTTCCTCCCCTGCCTTTATTTCTTGTCCTTTTTTTGTGTGCTTTTGAGAGTTTGATGCGAAAGATGCTTTGGCTTGAAGCTCTTTAAAAAGTTTTTGTTTATAGGAAATAAGATCCAAAGTCACGTCTATGTAGCTTTTGTGCGTCCTCTCATAAAAAATGTATAAAGCAAATAGAAAAGAAAAAGGCGAAAAGCTGCAAAGGCATTTCAACCAGACGAAAGTGAGTGAGTGTGAGAGAAGGAGAGATGGAATGGTGACTGATGGAATGGGACACATAAAAAGAAATAAAGGAAATAAAATTATTCGAAACACATACTTTGCTGTATCGAAAAATGGAAAAAAGCAGCGGCAAACATTCCATAACAAATTGTTGACTGTAGTCGTCGGGACAAACTTGTAGAAAATCCTGCAGCAATTGATCAATGACCGTATCCAAACGAAGCTCGTGGGCAGCTGCCAATGCATTCATCCAGCAATGAAGAGTCCAAGGGACGCCCATTGCTCGTAATTCGATAGTAATATCTGCAATGATGAGGGTGGAAGAATAAATATTCATGTTGATTTATGATTTAACTTAAAGTCATTGTAAATTTGAACAAGTCTTGACTAAACGATTTTATTTGACGATTTATTTTGATAAAGCGAGAAAATTTCAACCATAACTATTTTTGTTCAAATTCCGCATAGTTTTTCTGATACAAACATAAAAAAAATATGAAATCTGACAAATAACTTTATGTCATCAGAATATTCGCGAAAATTTATCGTTGTTGTGTATCATGGTATGTAGATCTGATTGCATGAGAATAATTTTCCACTTTTATATTATTGGATTTTTAGTTTTACTCTGTGCCCTGAATTGGATGAATAAGAAAAATTCCATGGGATTTATAAAAATAAATAAATTGATTTTCATGCTTTGTAATCTGATTGAGATTTGAAACCATGAGAACGAATTTTTATTCAATATTTTGTCTCTTCTCGAAATGAAAATGCGACAAGTATCAGAGATGATGCTTTAAAAGATGACAAAAAATTCTAGGAAAAGCTTCTTAAAAATTTGAGATTATTAATACAAGAAAAATTCATTTCTTTCTTGATCATAATTCTCAAAAAAGTAATTCAAATTGCTACACGACTGAAAGTCATCATTTCATAATTTAACAGCACCGTAATAATTTTTCACGAGGTGGAAAATTCCCATCGTGACAGAACAAAAAGCAATGAAATTTTATTTCTCTAAAACATCCACGTTCCATCCCTTTCCGAAAAAAAAGCAACATAAATATTTAAATAGAAGAGTGAAGTGTAAGCGAACGCATAAAAAAAGTTAAATCAATATTTGTATGCAAATTCCGGAAAATTAAATGTGCGAAAGAGCGTTGACGAAAGTAGAGGCAGAGATAAAAATAAAAGAGAAATTCATACCCAAATAATTATTTTCAGCGCTGTGATACATGGCTTCCTGCAGAGCTCTGATTTGAGCTTTACTCAATGTCGACGGAACTTCATTTTGCCGCTCGTGTGAAGAACGATTATTGTTATCGCCTTCAGCAAGCATCTCTTCCAATGACAAAACATCTCTTTGCTTTTCCGGTACGAATGGATGTGACAGTAATTTTCGTAAAGTTAGTCTTTGTCCATGAGCAGTGGCAACTGATATGGCACTGTAACAACCTTGTTGTGCTTTTCCAGAGAATGACATCGAATTTTGCTTTGTGGAAAGAAATGACGAAGCTCCATGAGCTAACAGAAGAGACACGTTTTCTATGCATCCGGTTCCGCTTGCTACTTGCAGTGGTGTAAACGTGCATTTTTCTTCGCTCAGTCGTGCGCCACCTTCAACTTTCGATCCACGCTCGAGTAAAACTCTCAAAGCTTGAAAATTTCCACGACATGCCGCAAATGTTAATGCAGTCCAATGTTGAGTTTCAGGATGAATTGCTGGATAGTTGGGATGTCCAATTGCGGGTACTTCAATGTTTGGATTCGCACCCGAATCAAGGAGAGTTTGTATGGCAATTTCATCGTTGCGTAATGCGGCAATCATCAAAGGACTGAGTCCTTGATGGTTTAGTGTGTCGTATCTGTGAACAACAGAAAGCATGATTTTTCCATTTATTTTTTTCGTTTTATACGTTTTTATTTAATATTGCTTACCTTGTTGTGGGTGGTGCTAATGACATTGCTTGCACTAATAACTCAGGTACACCCGTCAACATTAAACGAAAAGATAATTCAATTGTCGCTCGACGTCCACATTCAATGTAATCATCGCAATTATTATTCGAGTTCGATGAGCTTGATGACATAGAACCTTGATTGTAAGGTGGCGGATGATTTGATGGAATGGAGTAAGTTTTAGCAGAAGGCAATTCTTCGTCGCAGCAAATTTGGCGTGGCGCGCAATCAACTCCCGGCAATAGCAATCGAGCTGCTTGAATAATATCATTTCTATCAATCAATGTCGAGTGCCGATATTCTGTGTGTGCAGAAGCCACTCGAAGCCATTCAATCAACGGCGGGGGGGCGATATATGCACGCTCATAGCAAAGCTCTTGAATATTATTATTGATAGCGTTACCGTTTGTCGTTGTGGGAGGGTTGTTGTTGCTGTTGTTTACGTTATTGTGGCTGTTTACATTGTTGTTGGCTATTAGAGATGATGAAGAACAAAGGAAAGAGAAACTTTAATAAATAGCTTAGCCCTTTGTCAAAACTAACTGGGGGAGTTTGTTAGTGATGTCGCTTTGCATGCACAAAAAATAGTTTTTGCTGATAATTTGATACATGAGATAGCAATAAAACATGCGATTATAATATGAGTTACTCTTATCAACAATCTTTAATTAAGAGCTGCATCCCGAACATAGTCAGCATGAAACACTTTACACTTGAATTCCAAAGCGGCTTCATGAGCGTGGGTGTAGATCGCAGTGTAATTAAGCAACAACATTAATTTCTTTTTCCTTCATAATAGAAATTGTTTCGAAAAGCAGCCATAAAACTATTTTCGATAATTACCATGAGTTTAAATTATAATTCGTGATATTAGAATATTCATAGAATGACAAAGTCTCGATTTTGAACATCAAAGTTTATGGATTAATGTTTCTATGTCATTAAATATTAACGAATTGTATGAATTTTATATCACTCATAAGTGGTCGTTCTGTGCCTTCAAATTGAAGTTTTAGATTACAAAAAAATGTTTAAGCAACTGAGCAACAATATAAATATTTGACGTCACTATCTGTCTTAGTTTAAACTCTCCCATATGTATCTAATACTTAAATGGCACAAAAGCAAAGCTAGCTTTATAATGTTTTTGTTTTTGTTCACTTTAAGTTATTTTTTATTTTTTATCTATTCGTTCAAATGCACGTTAATCCATTTAACTTTTTTTTCAAGGGGATTAATACACTTTAGTGTCTGTCTCACGAGAACAAATGATAAAGCGACCGAGAAAAATCGCATTACTATACGTTTCATTTGATTAATATTTTTTTCTTCATTTCTTCTTCTTCTTGTTTAGTGTAAGAGAGAAAGTATCAACCGACACACATACCTTCGTTATGCTCAAGCTGTGAGCATCTCATAAAGTAAAAGAGTTCACGCAATGCGGCTTGGGACATCGTGACATGATTGCTACGCTTGTGGGATCGGCTTACTAAATCTTTGAGTTCAGCAAGACTTCCAACACAAGTGGTCAACAAACATGGTTCCTGTTTGTTGCTGTTATTATTATTGTTAATGTTATTATTAGTGTTGTTGGTGTGAATGTTCGAATTAGAGCTGACAGATGCTTCGCTTGTCCATCGTGGCATGGTCAAGGCTCCAGAAGCGATTCGACCTGCATTTAAATGAACGAAAGGTTGAAGTAAACCCCAAAGGTCTCCCGAATTTGCTATTGCGTGCTCAAGACCCATCGCTGTTAACGTTGCTGTTGAGTCATTGGGCATACATTGTAACAAAATCTCTTCCAATAAATTCTCGAAGCCGGCACATAAATAAACAGCCGCATATTCATGAACTAATTTCCCCAAGCGAGCATCGACCATCCATCGGTGAAAACGTCCAACAGGCAATTGAAGACCGGCCCTTGCTGATTTTGTTTGTTTTAAAGTCCCATCTCCTGAGAGAAAGAACATTGCTGCTGCTCGGAGACAAGCTTTAATACACGAGTCTGCTAATGCCGGGCAAAGAACCATTTTAAAAGCTCCAGCAATTTCATGCTTGGAACAAAGTCCCAGCACGCTTGAGAGTCTTTGAATTTCTCTTGATATTCTTACAAGAGCTCGTGTTAAAAGATATCCCAGTCGTGGGACAGCTTCAGCTGAAACACGATCAGCAAAGTCTCGACATCTTCCGACTCTTATAACTCGCATTAAACAATATTGACTCCATGGTGGATGTTGAAGTTCAACTAAACGATTGTGTGAATCAACCCACACGAATTCATCAGCACTTGTCACGTTGGTGTTGACAGTTTCCATTGACGAATAACGTCCTAATCTCCGAGCTGGTTCAGAGCTTTCAGAACCTGCACTTAAGCTACTATAAGTACTTGTGCTTGTTTGTGATCTCAATGTTAATTGCTGTATTGCGGCTTTAATGTCTTCAAGTCCATTTCCACTCCAAGGATTTTTTGTTGGGACATTTCGATGTCTTGGTTTTCCCGTGCTTGCACGTGACCTTCCATTACGATTAGTAACACCAGCAGCGAGTCGACTATCTTCAGGCACTGATCCGAGTTGACCAGTTTTGTTACTTCCTGGTGAACTGCTTCCATTACCACCGCCAGTGTCTGACATTGAAGCGTGACCTGATGAACGATTCTCATCAGATGAACTATGACATTCTTGAATTTTCCGAAAACCATGAAAATCTAAACTACCGCTCCCATTATGATGATGAGTTCTAGTAACGTTAACATTCATAGAAGGTTTTTGTTTCGACGACTGTGGACCAGATTGTGCTGTTGTATGTGGTTGTTGAGCGTGAAATTGATGAGGCACGGGTGGATGATTTATCGGTCCATGGGGTTGGGATGGCTTTGTTGGTTGGGGAGCAGGCAAATTTGTAGGATTTTGTGAGTGGAAATGTTTAGGTTTGTTTTCAACAACTTCACCATTTGTTTTGACATCTACACGACTGATATTATTGCAATTCGATAGCCCATTTGTCGTTGTTGAATTTGCAACGTAAACTTTGCCAGCTAGACTTGAAGTTATTAAAGCTGGTTGAGCTTTGACAGCCGTGCTTTGAACCGTTACGCCTCGAGTCGGTCCTAGAACAGCTCTTTGTGGAATTGGTTTATAATTTGGTTGTACAATTTGAGCTGATGATGGCGTCGCTTGTGTGATTGTAGGTGGTGACGCTGGCAGTCTTGCAGGGCCAACGTCACGTTCCGGAATCATCGCTGAAGAAGCACCATGAGCACGCGAAGGCGAATCAAATTGCCGACCTGGGGTTTTAATATCACTAACATTTTGGCGTCCATTCATTGGTGATGTCGGCAAACCTAACGAATCTACATTTTCATTTGTCATTCCCAAGGGACGCAAACTGATTTCTTTGGCGATTTTAGGCGCTAACGTTGTCACTGATTGTTGGCTTTGCATCTTTTGCTGTCTATTGTTACTATCGAATAAATTTAGTCTATTGTTTTTCTGTGCTTCAGCATGGATTATATGGTGCGGCCCGTTAAGTTTTCCATTAGCAACATTCACGCTATTTGTTGGCTTTGATTTCAATGCTGCTGATGACGGAAGCAATTCGCCACCATTTGATGTCTTCAGAGGTCTGAATAAAGAAAGAAATGAAATGTTTTTCAGCAAGGAAGAGAAAAAACCTGTTTCACAATAATTATGTGTAAATTAAATAAAAGTTATGTGGTATGAACATCAGCAACGCGCAATACAATTCATCACGTTACTTCTTTCATTCTGAAGATTTTTTTTTGTTTTTGAGATTTCACATGAAGACAATTTTTTATAAAATTCTAATCTATGCGGTACCCACAAAAAGTCTAATGAAAATATCTAATTCTCCCAACTCGAAGCACTCAATAATTCGGTTTTGCATTTTCCGCATGATAGAAACCAGAAAAAATTATAATTCCAAATTTATATTTATATTTAGTCTCGCATTGGATGTAGGAAAAAACGTTCAGTTCAACCCAAATATAAACGAAGCTAAAAATTTCTCTCCTACCAAAGCTCCATAAATTTTATTTTAATTTTATTATTTCTCGATTTTACTTGCTTGTTCCGATATCAATTGAGTAAAATATTTATTTTGGTCTTTTCTTTTTTCTTGGGACTTTTAAAAAAATGTTTTCTGAATCATCAGCGCATTGAATGCTTTGTATTTACACTCGCGTACATATATATTCACATAACCCTGTCTCCCTTTCAAAATGATGTTGTTTTTGTTTCCCAGTTCACTCTCTGTCACACCATTACGCTGTGTTGTCGTATAGAAAGGTATCAAATCACAACACGACAACAAGAAGAAACAGAAGAAAAAATTAATTACCTATAAAAATTTTTATGTAAATTTAAAAACTAAGAATTTTTCAACTTTTCAGCACTTTAAGTGATCACTTTTGATATTTCGTTAATGCACTCGAGTCGATGTATCCATTGTGCAAAGTTTAATGCGATAATTTGCCCGTTTAATCGACAAAATTTTATAAATTTTGTGGATAAAAATTTTTCTCTGTCGTTTCTTGATGAAATTTGAAGAAATACTTGAAGTGAATTCTCTGTATTTGTGTAAAAATCACTGGTCCATAACACTGGAATAAAGAAAAGGAATGGAGAAAAGCAAAAAGCAAACGAGAAGATTAAAAATATTGAGAATAGCTCAGGTATCGGCGCAAAACTAAATAATCTGCTTTACCGACACTTAAAAAGCGCGCGCATTGATTTAATTGTACAATTGCAATTTACATTGCATAACAGATTTCAAATGACTTTAAGATAATTAAATGATATGATTTGTTATTTCATCCACAATGAAATTAAAGCATACTTGGCATTAGATATTCTTATAAGAATTATTTAAGTGACTCTCGGAATTAAAAAAAAATCTTAAGAGAGAACTGGAAGAAATCTTGACAGTGTTAATAGCAGATTCTTTTTTATTTTCATTATTCTACACTCTCAAATACATCGACAGAGAAAGTTGCGACACACGACCAAGTATCGAAGGCACTCAAAAGCGAGTTCAAAGAATGGCATTTGACTCAACAACTGGTTGCTTTCAGATATATGTAGGTACATAAACAAACGTTTCCAACATAAATACCAACTATTCCAAAGAATTTCTTCCAATGCGACATGTAAAAAGTGGAGAGAAAAAAAATGTAAAAATTAAAAGAAATCTTTTTTTTTTTAAACAGAAGGCAGAGAAGCTTCAACTCTTTCACATGTCATAAGTTATTGCATATTGTATTTATTTTGGCTCTCATGTTCGAAAAGATTATGAAAGATTGTTAGAGTTTAATGCTTTTTCATATAGGCTTTTTTTTTCTCACAACATTAGTGTGTGGGGTTTTAGGGGGGATAGCGGAGTAGAGTCAAAGACAGAAATGAGAAAAAAAGCAAGCATCTGATGTCGAAAGGAAAAGATTGGATTTAAATTTGACGTGAATGATGTAAAGAAGAAGCAGCATTCACTAGCAAACGAGAGTAGAATAGTCGGAAGCAATTAAATCACTTCCTTGTTCGAAGTAAACTCAAACTGTAACTGACTTATTGCTTCAGTTAGTTTGCCAATATAAATTTACTTTGAATGAGGGCAAAGGGATTGAAGGTTGACTAGTATATCAATAAATAATCTTTCATTAATTCTTATAATTGACATTTTGATTGACATCAACCCTTTAAATTCTTAAAAATAAACTCGATTATATAATATATTTAAAGAAGAAAATACGAGAAATTTCAAATCCATTTAGGAGGTAAGCGGACTTTCATTTCATGTTCATCCTTCTGATGATGGAAAAAAGCAAACATAAGAGGATACAGATCGAGTTCATTGAGACAGAAATTAATTATGTTACTATTTTTGGTCTCTTCTCTTCTTCCATATCGAAAAGATAATACTTCAAGCAATTGTTACGCTCACCTGCTTCGCCATTCCTGAACAAAGCTCCAATCGTAGAAATAACCTTCATCTGGCTCACTGAGTGTATCGTTGTCATCATCCCCCGCATCATTCTCATCGTCAATATCTTCATGTGAAAAATTGAGTTCATGAATCGATGATGTTTCGTTACTTTCTTCGCTTTTTCGCATTCTCTTTTTATTTTTTTCGCTCTGCGATGATATCAAATTCACTAGATCGGAAGCTTTCTTAAAGTTCTGTTCAATTTTTAATTTTATAACATTGTTCTCGTCGATGCTTTCAATGTATGAGGGCAATAGTTTGCCATTACCCAAACTTTTCTCATTTATCTGCCCTTGGCTATTTCCTGGTTGATTTATTCGAAGAACATTTGGCTTCTCCGGAATAGCTGGCTTTGTTAGAAATTTATTCTTTAAAGGCGGTTGTTGAGGTGCGGAAGCAAAATTCTCGAATTTATTGCTAAACTTTGACTTTTCTTCCAACACTGTCTTAAGTTGTTTCATGAAATCTTTTGTTGGATGAATGTCTTTTTCATGTTCTGTTGTTTGTGATTTCGATTGCATTTCATTTGCCAACCGATTTGCATGATCGCTATCGTTATTGACGTTCGAATCATTGCTCTTATTACAAATGTTATTGTAAGCATCGCTAAAATAAATGACAACTTTGTGTTTGCCACCATCGTCTTTTTTACGTTCACTGTTATTGCTTTTCGGTTTCGACATTGCCAAACGGAGATCTGCAGTGCTCTGATATTTCATCGGGTTCTTAAACTTTAAATCAGTATTCGGTGCCAAATCGAACGAACTTTTAGCCTTCTTCATCCTTTCTGCCTTAATTCAAACTCACTTTAATTTAGAATCTTATCCTTTTAGATTGAGCTTTAGATTTACTTTTATGTTAATGAGATAGGAAAATGAAAATCTTTCTTCCTTTGCTTTCTTTTTAGTCAATGTCATCAGGACGAGGGTGAAATTACGATTTCCTTTTTTCTTTTTCTTTGTAACACTGAGCTCCTTTAGTCTATCATTTCATTTCAACTTACACTTAAATGCTTTTCCTTTAATATAATTTCTCAACTACACTCTAATGACGACGCTTTGAAGCATTCACAATTCAAGCGCAATTTTGTGAAAAGAAATTTCTCAAAGGACTTTTGCTTGTCACGGCGATTGCTATCCCGATCGTTTCACATTAAATATCTTTTCTTCCGTAGCAATAAAGTTCAAAATCTTTTTGTACTGTGATTTTTTTCAGACCATTTTGGTTCGTCTTCAGATGATTACTGACTGAGAAATATTGTTGGCGAAAGATGGAGAAAATATTTTTTCTTGTTCCCTCAAATTGAAAATGAAATTTAGCGTGATTTTTGGTGTGAAATAATTACATTTCTATCTTCACCATTGTTTAAAGTTATATTACATTCAATTGTCTTATTTAAGATCAGCGTCCGTTGCCACCAGCGCATCATTTCTTCTCATCATTTCACACAATTAACGATTTTACATCTCAACTATCACGCTTTCGTGTCTCTACTAGCAAAATAAGAAGGAAAAACTTTCTTCCGCCGTAAAGATATCTAATAATTTTAATTAAATTACGTCGAGACGAGAACGATGAAATTATTTTAAATAATTTTATGTAATTGAGTCATTACACTAGAATGCATAAAAAACTTCTTTTTTTTTTGGAAAAAGTCTCTCCATCTTCAACATTTTTTGTCGTGAAAGTTAATTTGCCTTTCGAACTTCTGCACTTCGGATTTGGAATGTCAAATGCGGGATTAAACATTTCTTTGTTTCAGTATGCAAACTTCCTTCAATTTGATGTCGACTTTAAACTTTCTTTCTTGAAGTTTTTCTTTCTTTCTTATTTTTTCATCTATCGTTCAGTTCAGCGTCTTTATACTTCGGGGCAAACAAGAAAGAGTCTCAAGTAAATGGAAAAACTTTATATTCACATTGAGAAGCGTAAGAAGATACCAAGATGTCCTTCTAGAAAAAAATTGCTTCATTAAAATGCTATTTTCGTTAGAAGATGTTCTTCGTCTTGTGAAAATGATATCTTAATTTGTTTCTCTTAAATTCCATCTTTTTTTTACTGGGGGCGTATTCTGAAATTGTACTCGGCTCGTTTATTAACAGCCTTCACTAAGAATTTCAATTTTTGGTTTGTCAACTCAACCAGAAATATTTTTCTAAGCATGGCAAGCTTTAATGTTGTTATCATTTTAAATTCAGTTTATTGAAGCACAAGATGAATAAAGAAAAGAATATGCAAATTGAGCTCAAGACTCAACACTTTACTTTGAAGTATTTTTCTCATCACATTTCATTTTCTTTAAGATGAATCGTCAAATGGTAATGTTTATTAATTTACAGCTGCTCCCCAGTCGTTGTCTCATCTTATAGAATGAGTTTTATAGTCGTGAGAACTTATGCAGTGCCGGTGAGAAGCCTTCAAGTTCATTGTGATATATTTTTTAAATGCGAGAGAGTTTAAGTGAAAGTAATTTTCAACTTTCATGAAACAATATCATATTCCGTCTTGCGATTCATCTTAACTCATTATCATCTCAAATCTCTTGAGATAAATGCTCAAAGAAAGACAAACGAGTGCATGTCAAAAGTTCATTTCCCCTTCAAACAACACCAACACAATGTTTTACTTGCTTTCGAACAGAACTTTTACTTTTCTTCAACCAAAGTTACTTGTTTTCATATCAAATATAATTTAATTCAACATAAAATATGTAAGTAACACTCGAAAAAAAATAAATAAATTGAAAACTTTTTTCTTTACACCGAAAAACAAAAAAACTTTTTCGACAGCGAAAAAAATCAAATAGATTGTTAGTATGGTAATTTTATTCAAATTTAATTGATTCCGACACGCCATGCCTCTTGCGCAGCTTTTCGGTAATTAACTTATCACCGAGCCAGATGAGAAGGGAAAAAAGTTTCACATTTCAACCCGCAAATTGTTCAATTATCAGCCGTGACATCGAAATGACTTGCACCCAAAACTCAATTAAATTTGCTTTGTGAAACGATAGGTCTGGCAGTGTTGGGAAGATACGTCTGTACAACGAGTAAGTTGTAAAAATCTAGACTCTCTTTCCCTTTTACTTCATTGCTAGTCCTCGTGACACCCATTATTTAATTAAGCGTAACCAAGTCAACTGATATCTCTACTCGGTGTTCCATTTTTTTATCGTTTTATCTAATCTTCCTTCGGTTTGTTTTTTATATTGTGATTCACCTTTTTTTAGTTTCTCTCTCACACACGATAGAGTTTACGTTGCTCCAGACGATGTTAAACCCAAAAAAAAACAAAGTTTTCACTTCATTTACTGGATGCTAACATTCTGTTCCCATTTGAATTCTCTTTTTTTTCATTTAACTTTTGCTCGACTTTAAAGAACAGTCGATTCCCTGCTTTAATGTTTAAGCGAAGAGCGTTTCATTATGCACATCAAACGAACGATGAAAAAGAATCTTGAAATTTGTCTCCGATTTCAACTTAAGCACACGCAAAGATGGAACGAAGATGGGTCGACGAAATCATGTACCGTTAAACATTGTGTAAGATAAAAAAAATGCGAAGACTTGGAAAACAGAAGAGAAAGTAAATGACGATATTGTGAATTTTTTTCTGTCTGTTATCAAAACATATCAAGTGTTGCAAAAGAATTTGAAGATTGTGAAATGCTACAGGTTGATATTAGGTACTCTGAAAAGAATCTTATCTTATGTTGATATCTTTTTGAACTCTGAGAAAAGTTTTGCTTTTCTTTTTTTAACTGTTGTCGACAGATTCGAGGAAAATGCAAAATTTTATATGAAAAATTACGACGAGAAATAAAAGTTTGTTCATTGATATCCATAATCCCCGCCAAGCAAAACGTGTCACATTCCACAAATGTCTCCTAAAGAAAATTCATGAAAGATTTTCGTGACGAAGCATTTAAACGTTTTTTGATACAACATTTTTTTTTCATTGTCGTCGTCGTCTTAATAGCGTTGAAAGAGGCTTGATTTGCTATGAAACGACATCAGGCTTCATTTTTCAGTAACGCAAGGAGAAGATATTAAAAGTCTCTGGGTCTTTCCTTGATTTATATTTGACATTGAGTGGATTTAATCGGTATCAAGTCTCATTACATGAAATTTGTCCGCCAACATTTTGCGAAAAAAAAGAAAGAGAAAATGGTGAAAAATTGAGCAAAACCAACAAAAACATTTTCTCCTACTATAAAAAGCTCATTATGCAAAATTACGTGCAAATAAAAATCATCTTGAAAGAAAATTCAATTTTTATTCTGTGCAAAAGTGAAAAAGGAAAAAATAAGAATAAGAAAAATTGTTGGGAGTTTCGAAGGCGAAGGAAAATGACATTAAAAGCGATTTAACTTGTTTTTCGCATCGTTGATAAAACGATTGTATACGAATAGCCGAAATGATTTTGAAAGCATTCCATTTGTTCATTCATAATATATTAGAAACGATCAAATTACCATTAAAAGATGTTTTATGTTCTCAAATCGTTCCATCTTTCCGTCTTTCTGTAAACATTCTTCGCTATCGCATATGCTGTTTCCTTTCCATCCCAAATTAATTTTCCTTTCCAAAGGATACGAAAAGCTATCAAATGATGAAATGAAAGATATTTAAAAGGCGATAATTCTGATCGGATCTGTGTGGACACAACATTAGCGTTTCCTGCATTAAGCTTTGACTTTGGATAGTAAATAGTTTTTATTAATACTAGAAAAGGAAGCTTTTTATATCTTACAGAAGCAACAAAAAAAAAAGTTCCTAGCAGATGTTTTTGATTTATTACATTTTCATATTTTTTCATATAACTTCTGGGGTAATAAACATAAAGTAAAATTATTACCACAAAGCATGTTTGGTTTTGAAATGCTTCTTTTTTTTTGTTTTATTTTTTTCTATCATGACTTGAGCGCTTAAAGTTAAGTTTTTCAACTTCAAACGTGTTTTTTACAAAAAGATTCTTAAGAGTCAGAAGGAGTTTCTCGTTCAACCAAAGTTGTAGCTTTATTCACATTTTCATTATTACATTGACAATCAATAAGAAGTAAAATTCCTTTGAGTATCACATTTTCAAATCCAAACCGTATCATTCCTTTCTTCATTCCATATCACAATAACACTTCTTCAAAGATAAAATTTCTGCACTTTGAAGTAGAAAAAACCTTAATCATTGTAAAAGAGTTTTTGTGTCCCCGAATGAATGGAAAAGAAGAATGAAAAGTCTTGTTGATGAGATTTTCCTTTTTTTACGGAGAGAGCATGGAAGGAAAAAAGTGCCCAAGACGGTCTCATGATGGAAATTGTGTGTCAAAACAAATTTGTTGTAATTTTTCACTACTTTGTACGCCAGAATAAACAACCAGACATACACACATTCGCACACATGCGATATAAAAAATAAAGGAAGTTTATTTTAAGTAAATTGATAAAACCATTTTTCATACTTTTGTGTTGTGATGAAGTGGAGAAAGTGGCTGATAAAAGAACGGGGAAAATTCTTTTCCATCTTGTATGTTGACTTTTATAGGATGAAGTCACATTTCATATAAGAATGACTATAAATTATGAGATGAAAAAAAACTATACATAAGCTTTCGTTACTTTGAAATGGAGATTGCAGTTGATTATGAAAGTTGCGGTGGAAAAAGGGGGAAAAAGTTAAAAAGATAAATGTAATTCTCCTGCCATGTGAAAGAATGTTGATGATTGCTTCTACTCAAATGAAAAGGACAAAGCGAGAAAAAAAGAGAGTTTCATATTTTTACGTC